TCTTATTTTTCATCATGCTCATTTTATACATAGATAATTTTATAATCTTTTGGTTTTATTTATATTTGTAATTGTTTTTGATAGTTGATTGATCCTGCTCTTTGTTGTTCTTAAGTTCATTATCTTCATCAGTCATTTACAACAAAGAAGATACAAAATGAAACATGTATTAGTTTTTTCTTATCAACGCATTACCTTTTTAAAAATCAACCTTCAATTTTTTATTTTTTATTTTTTATATTCAAGGCATTTTATGTTGACAAATTTACCAATTAAGTTGTCTTGTTATAAGCTCATTTCCCTTTGAAAAATCAACCCGTTTATATCATTGCACTTTGTTTGTTGAATTGTTGTATAATTAGAAATAAAGGGATATTAATGTCATTTACTCATTTTTATTATTACTACTACTTTTACTTCTCTTGAACGATAGGCACAAATACAATGATGGAAATTTTTTTCCCCTTAAATTTATGTTTTTGTGGATGAGCTAGTTAGTATATTCATGCTTTTATAGTTTGCCTTCTTATTTGAAGATAAAAGTTAGGTTTTCTTGGAACTTATTTTCTTTCTTTTTAATCTATTATTGTATTCAAGAATTTCAACTCTGTTGGTGACTATGGAGCCTCTTTTAGGTTGTTGAAGCAAAAACAGATGCTTGGTGTTAATCTGCAGTTTATCTGGTTTGTCCTTTAAGGTTCACCCTTTTCTATTTTATAACTTTTACAATTATATGCAAAATTAATCTTTTCTAAAGGGCTTATCCATCCCATATTAATATGGGATGCAAAAACATAAACATGTGAATTTTGTAAGTGTTTCCTTTTTTGGGTTTCTTGTTGAAAGATGGGGAGCACAAACATAAACATGTGAATCCTGTTCCATTTTGATGAGATGTTTGCTCAATGTTGATGTTCAAGAGGGTATTTGTGTCAATTCCTGTTTTTTCATAAATGTTTGTTGAATATCAGTAATGGCCTGTTGATTGATCATGCTCTTTATTGAAGTATCTTTCTTTCTATAATGGTCTTTATAATTATGTTTTTTTTAATCTTTTCTTCCTTTTGATGCCTTAGTTATTTTCATGTCTTATGTGAACAAATGTTCTGTTCTTGAAGTCTAAGACTATTAATGTTCAAGAGGGTATTTGTGTCAATTCCTGTTTTTTCATAAATGTTTGTTGAATATCAGTAATGGCCTGTTGATTGATCATGCTCTTTATTGAAGTATCTTTCTTTCTATAATGGTCTCTAGTCAGTTTGAAAAATTCTTGGTATCATCATGCTCTTTTTTTTTTTCAGCTATTGGTTTTTATTAAAAAGTGGTTTTTTCAGCTCCTCTTTCTGTTTAGAAAAAGTTAACAGATACTGTTAAAAGTAATGTATCCTTTCCTTTCATTGCACTCTTAGAAGTTTGATGTATTTAATATCCCTAGGTATCATCTATTTACAGCTGTTTGAAGATTGTTGAGATATGTCTTGTTTCATAACTAACCCTTTTTTAGATGGATATATATATGTCTCATATAAATATAATATTTAACAACCCTTTGATTTACTATAGATCTATGTGTTTTTTTTAGATGAGCAATTCAAGGTTACTAATATGTAATGGGATATTGGTATCACATGAGATCGCATTTGTTTTGTCTTCAGTGATATAAAACTTGACCAGTTTTTGCATTTTAGGTTATTAAGTCAAATGATGAATCTTGATTTGGGTCAGTATGAGACAGTTGTTGTTGATGTTGCTAGTGATAAGAAATCTGTAGATGTGAGATGAGAACAGGGGCATTTCTTTTAACATTTTTCTTCAAAGTGTTAATGTCCATATCTTTCCAAATAAAATTTTCAAATGGATCAAATACCAATTTTCTAACATGTCTTTCTTTTTGTACATCATGTTTAGCTAAGAGAATTGTCATCATTCCACTCTCATACAACTTCATCTTTCAATACTCCAATGCATACAACCTTACCAATGCTTATATATATGATAAGAGCATGGGGCCCACTTTTCATCCATACAACTCCCACCTTATCACCTCCTCCAATGAAGATGTTGAATTTATTATTATCTGGAACTGAGAAATTTTATTGATTTACAGGTGAATATGGAGAAAAATGGAATCATATATTGACCCTTCGAAAGTCATAAGAACAGCCTTGGTTGATGCATCAATGATAATAAAAATAACTATCTTGATTTTAAATTTAATTTAAGTTTCCATGGTATTTAAAAATAGGGTTTTTGAGTTTCTTGGTTTGAATTTTTGAAAGGCAAAGGTTCCATATACAATTTTTCCCTGCTTGAAAATTATGGTTATTGAGTTTCTTGATTTTGAGTTTTTTTTTTGTTTCTTCATTCATTTAGAACAGAGACAATCCTACAATCTTTGGTTTTACCAGATCTTCATTATATTCTTGATCATGCGTAAGATTATTGACTACCTCAAATTATTTATTTGATAACGGTTTTTACATTTTTAAATCTATTGTAACACGATGTATCCATTGCCCTTTATTATTGCAGTGAAATGATTCTCCTCTTCCATTGTCTCAAGAGGCTTTTGGTCTGTTTCTTTATAGTTAATGACTTTCCGTTATATAAAATCTTTTCATTATGAATCTTAATAACATCAAATTTAATTATGCAGTTGCTATAGTGGAGGTAAACATATATATGTTTTCTGAAAGTCGGTTCCTGTCAACCAATGCATGCTGGTAAATTGCAGTTTGTCAGGTTTGTCCATTCTATTTTATAGCTTTTACTCTTTTTTTTTTTTTTTCATTCGCACCCTTTCTATTTGCAGCTTTTACATTTAATATTTGATAAGATTAGTCTACTTTAATTGGATTATCTATCCCATATAAATCAACTTTTGTTTGTTAGGAAGCAAGTCCAAGAATGGTCTCTTTAACCATTTCTGTGATTTTCATACTTATCATCTGTCCATTCTTTTATTCTTGATTCTTCTAGAATGAGTTTTTTCAAAGGGTTTTCAATTTTGAATGACAGATTGTCCTGATATATAATTCTTTCCTACTTGAAAGTTACGGTCTTTGAGTTTCTTGTTTTTCATCATGTTCATTTTATACAGAGACAAATTTTGGTTTAATTTATTTGTTATTGTTTTTTATAGTCGATTGATTCTGCTCTTCTTAGTTGAGATGTGTCATATGTCCCATATAAATATAATTTTTGATAACCCTTAGAATGTCTTCATCTAAAACTGTGTTTTCTTTCTGTGTTTTTCTTAAATGAGCAATTCTATGCTATTTTAATGTGTCATATACATTTAGGTTTCAATTCTCTCTCTCTCTCTCTCTCTTGGACCCAGTGGTATCATGACTTTCTTAAATTATTTGATAACATTTTTTTTTTTTCCATTCTTAACTCTTTTCTAACACAATGGATGTACCCCATCATTTTATTGCAGTATAATGATCCATTTTGACTCTTAATAACATCTTATATATTTATACAGTTGCTATAGTGGAGGAAAATACACATATGTTTACTGAATTCGTGTATGTCTGTGTTTCTCATATTTTGTTTTTTATCTACCAATTGTCTTGTTCCTGACCCTTCTTTGATTAATTTTTTTAAAGCGTTTTGATTTTTGAATGGCAAAGGTTCTTTATATAAATATTTCCAACATGGAAATTAGGGTCTTTGAGTTTTGGTTATCCGTTTTTTTTTTTCAGTATGTTCTTTTTATACGAAGATAATCTTGGAAACTTTTGGCTATATTCATTTGTAATTGTTTTTTTAGTCGATTGATCATGATCTTTATTGAAGTGTCTTCCTTTCTATAATGGTTTTAAGTGATGTTTTTTTTAATAATCTTTTCTTCCTTATTATGCCTTGCAATACAGGTTGTCCCTTCTGTTCAGACCAAAACAACTTCAATAAGAAAATAGGCCAAATTTAATAAATATAAAAAAAATCATTATTTCTGTCGTTTCAGTCTTACCAACATTTATTTCTCTTCCGTGATAACACAACTTGTAATTGTTCTTATATTGTGGATTGATCTTGCTCTTTATTCAATTTCATGATTTTTTTTTTTTTTTTTTTTTTTTTTTTTTTTTTTTTTTTTTTTTTCATTTTAACTATCAGATGGGTCTTTGTTAGATAGGTCATATGTCCCATATAAATGTAATTTTCAATAACCCGTTGAATGTATTCATCACAAGTGTGTTTTCTTTCTTCAGTGTTCTAACGCAACGCAACCCAACCTGACCTGTTTTTGTTATAATTTTTGTTAAGCTTTTGAATTTATTCATCTACAAGGTGGTATCACATAATTAAGGATCATCATCTAAATATAATTATCCACCCATTCTCTCATATTGGAGACGGATGTCTGACTAATGATGATGATAAGTATCTTCTTTTCTATAATAGTCTTTATGTGGCGGTTTAAGTTATTATTTTTTATTTTCTATTAATCCTTTTGATCATAATGCCTTGGTTAATTCATCTAATATGTGAACAAATGTTATGTTATGTTTTTTCTTTTTTATCTTGATACAGTTGTTACTTCTTAGTTGGCTTGATTCGAGATGTGTTTGTATATACCTGTTGGATCTATTCACTAGGAAATGTTTTTTTTTTTTTTTTGGGTTTCTGTTTGAAAGTTGGGATCACAAACTTGAGACTTCTCTTCCATAGTCATGTGGTATGTTTCTTTAGCTAATGAGTTTTTCCATTATTAATCTTTTCATTGTGAATCTTGATAACATTTAACTTATTTATACAGTTGCCATACCGTAGGAAAATACACATATGTTTACTGAAATTGAGCTCTTGTCAACCGATGCAAAGACTAAGTCTCAAATAACCATTCACCAAAAATGAAGAAAGACTAAGTCTCAAATAACCATTCAATAATCAAAATCCATTCAAGAGGGAGCAAAGTCTCCACAAGAACTTAATAACCCTAACAACAACCACCAGGTGAGATTTATATGACAAAACAACTTTGATTTATAAATCTGATCTTAATTTTTATGCGTTATGTAAATCTGATTTCTCTGTTTCCAGCTCTTGTCATCTCTTGTGTGCTGGTAAGTTGCAATCCAGGTTGTCCTTTCTTAATCCATGTATTTTCTGTTCAAACCAAAACAACTTCAATAAGAAAGTAGGCCAAATTCGATAAATAAATAAAAAAAAATCATTTTTTGTGTAGTTTTCAGTCTTACCATCAGATATCTGAAATGTGTATCATAGGTTTAATAACCCTTTGAATGTAATGGGATATTGTTATCACTGAATATCACATTTGAATTTCTCTTCAGTCATATACTCTAATGGAACTCGACTCGTTTTAGGTATACGGGTCATTATTTTCTTCATTTTATGTAGAGGTAATCTTAAACTCATGTAGTTTTTTTCTTATTTGTAATTGTTTTTGATTGTCGATTGCTCTTGCTCTTTATTCAATGTCATGTTTTATTATTATTATTATTATTATTATTTTTTTTGTAGTTTCATTTTAACTGTAAGAATTCAGAAATGTATTATAGAGCTTTTTATGAGTTTTTCTGAACGTATTCATTTTATGTAGAGGTAATCATAAACCTTTGAATGTATTCATCTACAAATGTGTTTTCTTTCTAATTTGTTTTTATGTAATGGGATATTGGTAGCACTTAATATCACATCTATTCCTCTTCAGTGTTATAAAGTAACCCAACTCGACCTGTTTCTGTTATAATTTTTGTTAAGCTTTAAAATTTATTCATCTACAAGTTGGTTTTCTTTCTGGGTTTATGTAAGTTATTTTTATGTGGTCTGTGGTAGGAGTAGAATTAAAGGGGTATCACATATATTTCTCTTCAATGATATATAGGTATACGAATATATGATATGACATGGTTTTTTCTTTTTAGACATGAAGCATTGTTACTTTTTTGTTGGATCTAGTCACTAGGAAATGTTTATCTTTTTTTTGGTTTCTGGTTGATAGTTGGGATCACAAGCATGAGACTTCTCATTATGAATCTTAATACCAGAGGAAAATACACATATGTATACTGAAATTGAGCTCTTGTCAACCGAATGCAAAGTGGTAAAGTGATAGCTTTTGGATTACATAAATTATCATATGGATTCTGTTTTAGATATGAACTGATATGAATTTTGTATTGGGTATAGGCATTTGACAAGGGGCTCAATTTCAAAAAAACAGCAATCATGATTTTCATAATGTTTAGACCTATTGTTGGTATTTTTTTTTTTTCCCAATACTCTTCTATTCTCTATTGCTATCGAGTTAGAGATGTATTCATGTTGTGTGATATTTCAATAGTTAACATCCCATAGTCCACAGAAAGAAGTTAACATGTGAGTTTCTCAGTATATGAAATTGGTGCCTTGTTTCAGGAACCACTTATAAGTGTAGTTATGGACTCGGTATATATTGATGTTCCAAACATTCATAGTATATGCCTTTTTGGTATTTTATTTTTCTTATAAATTGTTGTAATCATAATTTATAATACACTATGATACTTGATATGAGTGAGAGCTTTATAATTGTTCTTAATGGACTCCTTTTTGCATTTCTTATTGAATTTCCATGAATAAATATTTTTTTATAAGTAGTGAATTTCATTTTGAATTTCCATGGACTCTCTTTGGGACAATGAAAATGGCCTTTTTGAATAAACTGTTGTGTACATGTAAGTTCAATTTCTAATCCAATAGATTGTAAATAATTTTTAATGCCCTTATGATGTTTGATCTTATATCTGATTCCATACAGTAACAAGGAAGCTATCAAGAAAGTTCTTAATGTTCATTCAATGGAACAGAAGGTAACTTTCTTTCTTCCTTTTCCTTCTTCATTTATATTTTTTTTTTTTTGAATCGTTTACCTCACATTATTAACATTTTAATCTTTCGTTAAATAATGAAAAGTTAAATTCTTTTTGGCTAAAAAGAGTCACACCTTACACTCTTGTTTAAAATGACTCGAGTAATGGCCTCAACATTCTTGTACAGATTAATTCATTAAGAAATTGATTTATAGTCTTAGGATCTATTGGTTTTATTTACTTGCAATTTTTTTTATAGGGGATTGATCATGCTCTTTCTTGAAGTATCTTGCTTTCTAAATTGTCTTTAGGTGATGGTTTAATTTGTGCTTTTTTAATATTCTCTTCCTATTGTTGACCTGGTTATTTAGTGTCTTATGTGAACGAAGTTTCTGTTCTCTGTTTTTTTTTTATGATGATGAGATTGTTATTTTTTAGTTGTCATGGTTGTTTTTTAACCATTGGACATGTCCATCATAGGATTGTATTATCTTTTTAGTAGGCTTATGCTTTTCTATCCCATATTCACATAATTTTGGTTTTGTTGACTATGAAGTGTTTAACGGTTTTTACATTTTTAACTCTTTTGTAAGACGATGTATCTATTGTCCTTTTTTATTGCAGTGAAATGACTCTCCTCTTCCATTGTCTGAAGAGGCTTGTGGTCTGTATCTTTATGGTTAATGACTTTTCCATTATTTAAAATCTTTTTTCATTATGAATCTTAATAACATCTAATTTAATTATGCAGTTGCTATAGTGGAGGTAAAAATATATATATATGTTTTCTGAAAGTGGGTTCCTGTCAACCAATGCATGCTGATAAATTGCAGTTTGTTTGTTTCCCCATTCTTATTTACCCCCTTTATTACAAAATCAGTTCCTATTTTATAGCTCATACCCTTTTTTCCTGTGAAATTAATCTTCTTTAAACGGCTAATCTCTCTCTCATATTAATATATTTTCATTTGTTTGATGACTTTTTGGTTTTTGTTCATAAAGGTCTGTTGAATATCTCTAATCTCTGGTGATATGTGGTTTTAAGCCTAATTTCAGGACACTCTTTTTAAAGCGACGACTTGAGTAATGGTCTGATTTGCCTCTTGTAGGCTAATTTAGGGTTAATCTAATAAACGAACCATAAATTTTGTGTTTTTTCTGGATTAAACCTCAATTTTATTTTTTACCTGAAACAGACCTTGCATTTTTCAGTTTTTGTGATCTAGCTCTTTTAGTTAATTTTCTTTTTCCAAAAAAGTTTGAGAAGGTTTTTTTTTTTGAGAAAAATGAAAAAAAAAAAAAAAAAAAATCCAAGATCCTGTTCAGGTCAGATTTACTAAAGTGTTAATTTTGGATCTTTTTTATTTTTCTTGTGTGCTGGTAAATTGCAATGCAGTTGGCCCTTCTCTTAATCCAGGTATTTTCAGTCTTAGCCTTCTGATAGATGTGGCTCATATCTCCCATATAAATATAATTTTTAATATCCCTTTGAATGTGTTTATCGTATTTTCTGTCTCTTTTTAAATCATCAGTTTTAAGTTATTTTTATGTAATGGGATATTGGTGTTACTGAATATCACATTTATATTTCTCTTCAGTCATATACTCTAACCCAACGCGACTGGATTTAGGTATACGGGTCGTCATTTATATTTCTGTCTTTTGATTTTATTCATTTCAACTTGTTTTTATGCTCTTTCCATCATGACTTTCCTCAAATTATTTATTTGATAACGGTTTTTACATTTTTAACTCTTTTGTAACACGATGTATCCAGTGTCCTTTTTTACTGCAGTGAAATGATTCTCCTCTCTCATTGTCTTAGGAGGCTTGTGGTCTGTATCTTTATAGTTGATGACTTTTCCATTATTTAAAATCTTTTCATTATCAATCTTAATAACATCTCTAATCATCTGCTTTAAATGGATTGTTTATCCCATATAAATATAGTTTTGTTTGTTTAATAACGTTTTGGATTTGTTTTGATTTTTGAATGATAGAGGTTCCTTATATAATTATTTCCTACTAGAAAGTTAGGGTCTTTGAGTTTCTTGTTTTTCATGGCAGAGACTCTTTATATAATTCACTACTACTCAAAAGATAGGGTCTTTGAGTTTTGGTTATCTGTTTTTTTGTTTATCAGCATGTTCTTCTTTTTATACAAAGATAATCTTGGAAACTTTTGGCTTTATTCGTTTGTAATTGTTTTTTTAACCAAATGATCATCATCTTTATTCAAGTATCTTCCTCTCTATAATGGTCTTATGTGATGGTTGAATTTTTTTTTTTTTTTTTTTAGAATCTGATTTCTCTGTTCCAGCTTGTCACCTCGTGTGTGCTGGTAAATTGCAATGCAGGTTGTCGTTTCCTAATCCAAGTATTTTCTGTTCAAACCAGAACAACTTCAATAAGAAAATAGGCCAAATTCAGTAAATATCATTAAAAAAAAATCATTTTTTGTGTAGTTCAGTCTTACCATCAGATATCCGAAATGTCTATCCTAGGTTTTGAAGAATTTTTCTAAAAATAGTTGAGATGTTTCTTTTTTCGATTACCCTTTGTTAGATCTGGCTCATAACTCCCATATAAATATAATTTTTAATAACCCCTTGAACATGATCATCTACAAGTGTGTGTTTTAATGAACAGTTTTAAGTTATTCTTATGGAATGGGATTATGGTATCACTTAATATCACATTTATTTCTCTTCTATCATTGTAATGCAAGTTGACTTATTTTTGGTATATGGGTCATCATGTTCTTCATCTTATGTAGAGATAATCGTGTGTGTGTGTGTGTGCTTGTAAATTGCAATGCAGGTTGTCCTTTTTTTTTTTTCATCTTATGGCGCATTCTTTTTGGAATTCGGAGCAATTATAATCTGTGTTGGGTACGTTCTGCTGTTATTCCAAGTGTACTGAAAAATAGCAAAAATACCTTTGGTTCTTAATCCAGGTATGTTTTGTTCTACTACATTTGTAACTTTTAAAATTTTCCTTATCAAGGTATTTTATTTCTTAGTTGGCATGATTCATGATGTGTATAACATAACATAGGCCTCTTTGTGATGTTTATTTTAACCATTAAACATGTTCATCATGGGATCAGATTATATTTTTCAGATGGATCAAATCCCAATTCTATAACATGATTCTTTTTGCTGTATACATGAGGTTATCAAATGATTCTGGCTTATTATGATCAAGAAAGGTTAGAGCATCATACAACTTTATAAGAGTTGTAAATATTGCCATGTCAGCATCCAGCTTGTTGTTTTTTGAGTGTTGTTGTTGGCAAGTTTTTAGAGCAGATCTGGATCTTGGGTATGATGTTGCCAAAGGTATGCGTCAGTGGATATGGAGATTTTTTTTTTTAATTATTATTATCATTTGGAATCGAGTAATTTTACTGAAGTTTATTTATTTGCAGGTGAAAAATGGAATCATTGACCCTTTGAAAGTCATAAGAACAGCCTTGGTTGATGCAGCAAGGTTAGTATAAAGTCATGAAAATAAATGTCTTGATTATAAATTTATTTTAAGATTCCATGGTACTTAGTATATATATTATTTTTTTTACTTTTATTTATATAATCTTTATTTACAACAGAGGTATTCTTAGATTCTTGTGTTTCTTTTTATTAAATTGCAGTTATTTTGGCTTTCTTATCTGTCCACCGAATTTACTTTCTTGGAACTTGTTTCTTTCTTTTGAATCTATTATTGTAATCAAGAAAGAATTTCAACTCTGTTGATAACAATCTGTTGGTGACAACGGAGCCTTTTTTAGGTTGTTGAAGCAAAAACAGATTGCTTGGTGTTAATCTGCAGTTTATCTGGTTTGTCCTTTAAGTTTCTCCCTTTTCTATTTTATAACTTTTACATTTATATGCAAAATTATTTGTTTGATAAAATTTTTGGATTTATTTATTAGTAAGTGTTTCCTATTTCGGGTTTCTTGTTGAAAGATGGGGAGCACAAACATGTGACTGACTCCCCTTCCATTTTGATGAGACATTTGTTATATTCTGTTTATTTCAATTGATAGCATTTTAGGTAGGGGCACAAACAATTAAATTATGGTTTTTATCTTTGAAAGGCAAATGTGCTTTATACAAAATTTTACTATTTGAAAATTATGAGTTTCTTCTTTTTATCATCTTCTTTTATTTACAATAGAGGTATTCTTAGATTCTTCTGATTTTTATTATATTGCAGTTATTTTGGCTTTCTTATTTGTCCACCCGATTTACTTTCTTGGAACTTATTTCTTTCTTTTTAATCTATTATTGTAATCAAGAATTTCAACTCTGTTGATAACAATCACAATCTTTTTGTGATAATTGAGCTTTTTAGGTTGTTTAATTGGTTGTTGAAGCAAAACCAAAAGGTAGCACTGTATTTAACTCAATGTCTTCTCGTTTTTTCTACAGTTTCTATAATGGAGAAAAATGTCCATTCTTATTCACCCCATTTCTATTTTATAGCTGTTACATTTATATGCAAAATTTATCTTCTCTAAAAATAAATATAATTCTGTTTCAATTAGCATGTAGACTGTAGTTTGATATTGAAAGTGACCCTGAAATTGAAAGAAACTATGGAAGATAGTGCTCAAGTCATGTTATGTTGTGTACTCTTCTCATGTCTGAAAGTTGTTTTATATTCTAACAAAATTTACCATACGTTTCTAAAAGCAAATTTCACAATAATCATTAATTTCAACAATATTTATCAATTTGAACGTGAGAGGAGTTAGGGAGGAAAAATAAGTGCAAATAGGTAGTTTCTTGGCTTAACCAATTTAGTGAGTCATTCTGTCTAAAATAAGTAAAAAAGAAACGACAATTACAATGTATAGCTTTCCAGATTAAGTGCTTAACTCATTAACCTCATTATGTGAAAAAGAAACATCCCTTAACTTTGTCTGTATGTTTATCTTTTTCCTTATTGAATATGTTTTATCTTTTTTTTTTCCCTATCTCCAGGTTGTAAATTCACAAGATATGCGAGGCACCCAAAGTTTGAAAAGTCAACATTCAAGTATTTGTCAAATTAAGTCATTTGATGTTGTGGTTTATATATTTTGTCATCTCATCTTTTTGTGAATACTCGGATTATAATTAGTTGTTTAATCATAAATTGTAATTCATCTAAATCTAATACTTCATTTTGTTAGGGAAATGGTGTGGGCTACAAAATAAAGGTTGAAAGGGGTCCAAACAGGTTAAATGACCATTTTACCCTACATTTCTATAAGCAAATTTCACAAGATTCATTAATTTCAACATTATTTACATTTTCTTTTTGATAAAATTAATTTTATTTAAATGGATTATCTATCCCATGTCTGATTTTCATATTTTGTTTTATCATCTGTCCATTATCTTGTTCTTGAATGTTTTTTTTTTTTTTTCAAAGGGTTTTGATTTTTGCATGACAGAGGTTCCTTCTATAGTTTCTTTCCTACTTGAAAGTTAGGGTGTTTGAGTTTCTTGGTTATCAATTTCTTATTTTTCATCATGTTCATTTTATAGATAGATAATTTTAGAATCTTTTGGTTTTATTTATTTGTAATTGTTTTTGATAGTTGATTGATCCTGCTCTTTGTTGTTTAAGTTCATTATCTTCATCAGTCATTTAGAACAAAGAAGATACAAAATGAAACATGTATTAGTTTTTTCTTATCAAACATTACCTTTTTAAAAACCAACCAAATTATAGCATTGCATTTTAAGTTTTCTTTTTGTTACAACATTATAAGCTCATTTCCCTTTGAAAAATTAACCTATTTATAGCATATTCATGCTTTTATACTTTGCCTTCTTATTTGAAGATAAAAAGTTAGGTTTTCTTGGAACTCATTTTCTTTCTTTTGAATCTATTATTGTAATCAAGAAAGAATTTCAACTCTGTTGATAACAATCTGTTGGTGACAATGGAGCCTTTTTTAGGTTGTTGAAGCAAAAACAGATGCTTGGTGTTAATCTGCAGTTTATCTGGTTTGTCCTTTAAGGTTCACCCTTTTCTATTTTATAACTTTTACATTTATATGCAAAATTATTTGTTTGATAAAATTTTTGGATTTATTTATTAGTAAGTGTTTCCTATTTCGGGTTTCTTGTTGAAAGATGGGGAGCACAAACATGTGACTGACTCCCCTTCCATTTTGAAGAGATGTTTGCTTAATGTTGATGTTCAAGAGGGTATTTGTGTCAATTCTCTGTTTTTTCATAAATGTTTGTTGAATATCAGTAATGGCCTTTTGATTGATCATGCTCTTTATTGAAGTATTTATAATGGTCTTTATGATTTATGTTTTTTTTTTTAATCTTCTCTTCCTTTTGATGCCTTGGTTATTTCATGTCTTATGTGAATAAATGTTCTGTTCTTGAAGTCTAAGACTATTAATGTTTTGATTATTGTTTCCATTCATGTTAAGAAATAAGAGCCTTTTTCCTTTTATACATTTTATGCTCAATACTATACAACTCTTTAATGTTGATTTTGGCTCACGTTGCAGAAGGTGAAAATTACCGCGATGTAATCTTTATTTACAACAGAGGCATTCTTAGATTCTTGTGTTTCTTTTTATTAAATTGCAGTTATTTTGGCTTTCTTATCTGTCCACCGAATTTACTTTCTTGGAACTTATTTCTTCCTTTTGAATCTATTATTGTAATCAAGAAAGAATTTCAACTCTGTTGATAACAATGGAGCCTTTTTTAGGTTGGTGAAGCAAAAACAGATGTTTGGTGTTAATCTGCAGTTTATCTGGTTTGTCCTTTGTTCACCCTTTTCTATTTTATAACTTTTACATTTATATGCAAAATTATTTGTTTGATAAAAAATTTGGATTTATTTATTAGTAAGTGTTTCCTATTTCGGGTTTCTTGTTGAAAGATGGGGAGCATAAACATGTGACTGACTCCCCTTCCATTTTGATGAGATGTTTGCTCAATGTTGATGTTCAAAAGGGTATTTGTGTCAATTCTCTGTTTTTTTCAAAATGTTTGTTGAATATCAGTAATGGCCTTTTGATTGATCATGGTCTTTATTGAACTATATATAATGGTGTTTATGATTATGTTTTTTTTTTTTTTTTTAATCTTCTCTTCCTTTTGATGCCTTGGTTATTTCATGTCTTATGTGAACAAATATTCTGTTCTTGAAGTCTAGAACTATTAATGTTTTGATTCTTGTTTCCATTCATGTTAAGAAATAAGAGCCTTTTTCCTTTTATACATTTTATGCTCAATACAGCTCTTTAAGGTTGATTTTGGCTCTAGTGAATATTGATGGACTTCAGAAGGTGAAAATACAGATTGAAAGGAGTCATAGATGCATGTAAAAGTTGCTTCTTAAACTAATGAAACCAGTGATTTAATCATGCCTCTATATAGTTCAAAACCTGAAAAGCAACCAATGGGACATAGTGCTCAAGTCAAGTTGTACACTTTCCTCATGTCTGAAAGGTTTTCTAACAAAATTAGCATTTGAACCTCTTATATGATTTTGTTTTCTTCATTTTCAGGTACAAAAAGAATATAGAAGATTATGGTCCTGTTGTATTATCTCCACTCAGATCAAACACAGGGAAAACATCATAAAAAAAAATGTTTCGTTTGTTTTTTTTTTTTTGTGAATACTCACAAAGAATGACACCAAAATGACCATTTTACCCTACATTTCTAAAAGCAAATCACAATATTCATTAATTGCTTAACTCGTTAACCTCGTAAAAGAGAAACAACCCTTAACTTTATATTTATGTGTTTCCTTTTTGAGGATGTGTTTGGTTTGAGGGAATGTAACGGTTAGTTCCATTGGAAGGAAAGAAGTTGTTTGTTTTGCCTGATGGAATGGAATGTGATTCCTTCCCCTTTGTTGGCAGTGTTATTTTCTTCATTTCATGTTAGATATTATGTATTTTCATTTGTTTAATCTCAGTTGTCTTGTTCTCGATTCTTCTTTGATTGAATTTTTCAAAGGGTTTTGATTTTTAAATGATAGAGGTTCCTTATATAATTCTTTCCTACTTGAAAATTAGGGTCTTTATATGATGTTTTAAGTTACATTTTTTTAATCTTCTCTTTCTTTTGATGCTTTGTTATTTCATGTCTTATGTGAACAAATGTTATCTTCTCTGTTTTCATTTTCATCATTCGACTCTTATACAACTTCATCTTTCAATTCTCCAATGCATACAATCTTACAGAAAAAACTTACAACTCCACCTCATCACCATCCGATGCATATAAATGAAAATAACTGTCTTGACTATAAATTTATTTTAAGATTCCATGGCACTTAGTATATTTTTTTTACTTTTATTTATATAATCTTTAATAGTAATGTTTTAAAAAAAGACCTATGGATTGATGTCCTTTTTCTTATGTTTTGTACACGACTTATGCATTAATATGATCTTGCTTAAACTATTCTAACTTTAGTTTCTTGTTATGGAATTTAAATTTTGAGCTACAAGTTGTTTTATTTCTTTTTATTTTGTTTAATGTGTTTTGTTGTGGTTTTCAAAATAAAGGGATTATAATATAAGGTGTATTACTATTAGTTTCTCTAACTTTTGTGAACATTTGTTATATTCTGTTTATTTCAAATGATAGCATTTTTGGTAGGGGCATAAACAGTTAAATTATGGTTTTTATCTTTGAAAAGCAAAGGTGCTTTATACAAAATTTTCCTATTTGAAAATTATGAGTTTCTTTTTTTTATCATCTTTTATTTACAATAGAGGTATTCTTAGATTCTTTTGGAACTTATTTCTTTCTTTTTAATCTATTATTATAATAAAAAATTTCAACTTTGTTGATAATAATCACAATCTTTTTGTGATAATAGAGCTTTTTAGGTTGTTTAATTTGTTGTTGAAGCAAAACCAAAAGGTAGTAGTGTATTTAACTTTTTTGTTCTGAATCTTAATGTCTTCTCGTTTTTTTCTATAGTTTCTATAATGGAGAAGAATGTCCATTGTTATTCACCCCATTTTGTTTTTTTCTTTAGTTTCTATAATATTGTTTCAATTAGCATGTAGATTGTAGTTTGATATTGAAAGTGACCTTGGAATTGAAAGAAACTATACGAGGCTTTTGTTGGAGATGTTGTCTTGATAAAAATGTTTGTCAACAACTGGAATGAAACATGGATCTTTTAAGGTGGAAAAAATTATATAACATATTTGTTTTGAGTGAGCTTAATAACTTGAACTTATGCTACTATGTAAAAAGGTGTTTATTGAGGCACAAGATGAGGTTGAAACTCAAACTATGCCTATATATGCTACTATGTAAAAAGGTGTTTATTGAGGCACAAGATGAGGTTGAAACTCAAACTATGCCTATATTCTTTGTTTTTCTACTTGCAACATTTTGTTTTTTTTTTCTTCATAAGGTGTTGTACTTTTAAAAACCCTAGCCAATTATACAACTACCTTTTTTTTCTTGTTAGCTAGCACATTAAACTTTGAAAATTCACCCACTTATAGCAGTGGAAATCGATTTGTATTTCAATGAAATTGTTATAAGAGGAATTAAATACCCTCCTAGAAATGATGTGAAGTGTCTTAAAATATTATTAAATTTTATCAAAATATGATACTTGTCACCATTTCATATGGGTATGAAGAAAACTTAGGATCATGACGCCTTGCTTATTTCATGTACTATGTGAACAAATGTTATGTTTTGTATTTTCTTTTTTATCATCATCAAATTTATTTCATTATACTTATATGTCACATAAATATAATTTTTTGTGTTCATCTACAAGTGTGTGTGTGTGTGTGTTACAATTCTAAGTTAATTTTTATGTAACAGTATATTGCTATTACTTAATATCACATGTAGTTCTTTTCAGTGATATAACATAACCCAAATCGACCCGTTTTCGGTATATGGGTCAAATTTGGAGCATTCTTTTGGTATTCAGTGCAATTATAATATGTGTTGGGTACGTTCTGCTGTTATTCCAAGTGTACTGAAAAATAGCAAAATACTTTCAGTTCTTAAATCTAGGTATGTTTTGTTCTACTACATTGTAACTTTTAAAATTTTCTTTATCAAGACATTTTACTTTGAAACATCAACCCATATAAACATTGTATCTTTCAAGTTTTTTCTTATCAAGGCATTTTAAAAATAAATCAATCAATTTTTTTATCCTATCAAGGCATTTTACTTAGAAAAAAAGACCAATTGTTGCATTGTACTATCAATTTTCTTATTATAAGCACAATTAACTTTGAAAAATCAATCCATTGTAAAATTCAAGTTTCTTATTATAGCATTGTGCTTTTTGGTTTTCTTTTTGTTACAACTGCAAAATTCAAGTTTCTCATTTTACTTTAAAAAGTATTCCTTATTTATGTTGACAAATCCACCATTTATAGCCTTATACTTTCAGTTTTCTTATTATATTGCACTTTGTTCGTTGAATTTTTATGTACTTTTTTGTAACCTTAGAAGCTTAGAAAATTGGACAAACAAGTGATCAATAATGCACATGAGCCTTGATATAAACTGAAGAAATTGAGAAAAACTAGTGACTTTAGACTTCAAGTGTCTAAGTGTTGAAGAACTGAAACAAAGTTTCAGAATCGTCAAGTAGCAAGTAATGCGGAAAATAAGATTTTTTAATAAACCAAATTTATGATGAAAATGTAACATCCCAAGTTCAGAAGCAAGAGTTCAAGGGTGTAATGTGTATTTAGGGGGCAGACTCGACGAGTGGGTGCGTTTACTCGTTGAGTCTGAACGGGATTCTGGTTGCGAGTTAAGTGACCAACTCGCCGAATCGGCAGCTGGACTCGACGAGTTGTTGCTGAGTAGGGAAAACCCTAATTTTCGGGTTTGCATCCTATTTAAAGGACCTTATGTCATCCCTTTATCCTCCTTAGCACCCTTTGAGATCCCGAAAACCCTAAACTCATGTGTGTGAGGCCTTGGAGGGAGATTAAAGCTTTGAAAGTTAATTCTAGTGGGAGACCCTTGAAGATCAAAAGGCTTGCATCAAGAGAGTGGTGTGGATCCAGGATCTACTTTAGTTTGGGCACATTTTGGAAGTAATAACAACCTTCACTCTTTTGCATCTAGATCTATTATCATTTGAGATTTGGGGCATTTTTGGTATGATTGAGAACTATTTCGAGTTAGAGGCTTAGATCTAAGGTAGCTAGTTCAGATCTAGGTTTGTGATGGTCCAAAATGTCATAAAGCTTCTGTCTAAGAGTTATTGGTGAGGCCCCTTTGTCTAAAACCCAAGCCCTAGAGTGTTTTGGCCCTATATCTCCTTGGTTTCACGTAAAGTTTGCCACTTTATGTGAGGGTTAAACTGTAGAAGAGTGGATCTGTGGATTTGAGCCCCTGCATGGCTCGAAAAGCCACTGTATGGTTTGAGAACTAGAGAGACTCGTCGAGTAAACCCATGTTTACTCGACGAGTTGTATGAAGATGTGCATGGACTTGGCGAGTTGGAAGAACAACTCGGCGAGTCTGTTCTTGGACTCGGCGAGTCTGGTCGCAGAACCCAACCTCTTTTGGTTAAAGCTTTGGATTAATGAGTCGGTTAGCGACTCAGTGAGTTGGACAGGATGGAATTCCGAGATCGTTGAACTCAACGAGTCTTGGGGCGACTCGACGAGTTGAGTCGTGTTATGAGAGTTTCTGAGTGTAAGAACTCGACGAGTCGACGGGTTGACTCAGCGAGTAGAATCAACCAGGATGGTTGACTTTAACTTTAACCAAGAGTTGACCAGTTTGACTTCCAAGGGTATTTTGGTAATTTTGGAATTGGTTCTTTGGTAGTGTTCTCTGGTGAAGTTCGTGTCAGTGGTTGGAGCAGCTTGGTCTTATCTCTTCAGTCGGTAATTGCAGGTGAGTTCTCCTCACTATATCAACAGGGTCTACGGCACCAAGGCCGACCCTTTATGATTTACATCCTGGCTTAGGATGGTTGTTATGTTATTGCTAAGTTAGATTACATCCTGGCTTAGGATGGTTGCTATGTTATTGCTATGTTAGATTACATCTTGGCTTAGGATGGTTGCTATGTTAGATTACATCCTGGCTTAGCATGGTTGCTATGTTAGATTACATCCTAACTTAGGATGGTTGCTATGTTAGATTACATCCTGGCTTAGCATGGTTGCTATGTAAGATTACATCCTGGCTTATGATGGTTGCTATGTTATTACTATGTTAGATTACATCCTTTCTTAGGATGGTTGTTATGTTAGATTTCATCCTGGTTTAGGATGGTTGCTATGTTAGAGATCGGTTAAATCGGTATCCTGGTTATAGGATGGTTTCCATGTTAGTGATCTGTTAGATCTGCATGTTTACTTGTTTATATGTATGTGTACATGTTTATTGGTTTGGGGAAGGTTAAGGCAGAACCTGCTGTGTGCCGGGTAGACTGCAGGCCCGGGCCGGGCAAATCCAGTCAGGCCGAAGGCCCAACGAGCGGTGCGGATAGGCTCAAGGCCCCGAGGAGGGCGGTCCAGACGTGCCGATGGCTCGGAGAGCAGTCCAGATAGGTTGAGGACCAGAAGTCGGTCCAGTCAGACTAATGGCTCATTATACATGTTGTTTGT